CCCAGTCAACACCAAAAAAATCAAAACACAGAGGCAGATGGATTACAGACGATCCTGGAGAAATATTTAAGTCAACACCAACAAAATCAAAACACAAAGGTGGATGGATTTCGGAGGATCCTGGAGATGTATTGCAATCAAAGTACAAGAAGAACCATTTCAGGTCTCCTTCAACACCTTCTTACAAGGGTCACAAGATGTCTCCTATGACTTCTGGTCATCATATGTCAGGTTCTCAAACTTCTAATAAGAATAGGTGGAGTCAATCAGGAACTTCAGCATTTGAAGGGTCAGCAACACCTTATCAGCACAGATACTCATTATCCAGGTTTGGCAACCCTGGCAATGCATTTGGCAACTCTGGCCATGCGCACAGCAATATGGGCCATGCACACAGCCACTTTGGTCATGGATACAACTCCGGCCATGCATACAGCAATTCCAGCCAAGCATACAGCAATTCCAGCCATGCATACACCAACTCTGGCCAAGTATACAACAGCTCCAGCCATGCACGCAGCCACTCTGTCCATGGATACAACTCCGACCATGCATACATCAACTCCCGGCATGCATATAGCAAATCCGGGCATGAACATAGCAGCCCAGGGTATTCATACAACAACTCAGGGCATGCATACACGAACTCTGGGCCTGGACACAGCAACCATGGCCATGCATATGGCAACTCCGGATATGATTTTGGCAGCCCTGGCAGTGCTGGGATGAGGAGAAAGAACGGTTGGTGGTAGAAATGAAATTTATATTGAAACTGCCGGATCTGGGAACTCTAATTCTTTTCCCTGACCCTTTTGACCAGTGTATTTTTTTTCTAATTTCTTTATCGCCTCGGTAAAGTCAATTTATTTTCCATACATGGATGCGCTTATAGTGATCGATACCATCTTTTCTCAATGGATGTATCCACACACCTTATCATAACCTTTGAAGGATAGCTGGTGGTTTAAGTTTAAAGAATTGATTTTTACCTTTCTGAAATAACATGGTGGTTTATTCTTGCAAGAATAGTAAACTTCAGCTCGCAAATATTACTCCTGAAGTTGAAATTTTTTATTTAACCTTAAAATAAAAAATGAAGGTAGCACAAAAAGATAAGTTTCTTGTTGTGGTAAATACTTCATTTCGGCATCTAACTTTGAAAAACTTGAAAAGCTGGAGTTTCCAATTCCTTAAAGGGTCTTCTCCAACATTAGTTAGTTAAATTCATCAGTGATGCAGTGTTCATACAAGAGATTCCAATGCTAGATGACTTTGATCGAATTGGGAAGTAGAACTCTCTGTGAGCACAAGCAATGGGATCATATAGTAAAAAGGAAGAAAAGAATAGATACCACATCTCTTTTTTATTATCAGGAAGACAACATCTTTAGGTTATTAAAATTTGGTGGTGACGGACTGGCTAGATTTCATATAGGAAAACATAGCAAAAGGGAAAAATCCGAACTAAAAAAAACATGAAAACCAAACACAGAACACAAAGAGGTGCTCTTAGATAACATAGCAGCAGGAACAAGAAAACTGGATATAATAGGAGCTCTCTAGTTAAGATCAGCGGGTTGAGAAGACTGACGCATCCTAGAGAAGATTGGAGCTCCATAAATGATCCGAACTAAAAAAAACATGAAAACCAAACGCAGAACACAAAGAGGTGCTCTTAGAAAACATAGCAGCAGGAATAAGAAACTGGATAAAATAGCAGCTCTCTAGTTAAGATCAGCTGGTGGAGAAGAGTGACGCATCCTAGAGAAGATTGGGGCTCCACAATTGCCTCCTGGACCAGTTTTGCAAGAAATGGAAGCTTTTTATGCTTTAAAAGGCAGGCTTGCGGAGGAGAACAACTGAATTGATCACATCATTAGTAGGGTGAAAGATGGAGAGAAGCTCAAAGCCAAGAACATCCTGCTCCTCGACAACAGGATAGAGAAAGGCTCTAGCCCCTTTTGCACTCCTCACCAGCAGAACCCCACCCTCCTTCATGTACTTCCTTATATGGCCTAGAATCTTGACTTTGTCTACTTTGCTCATGCCAACCAAGGCAGCCAAGAATATGCAATCATATTCACTCAGCTTCTCTTTAACTTCCATTATGTCAGCCGTCTCGAACTTCATTCTCTTCTCAAGTTCAACATCAGAAGAAGCAATTTGACGAGCGACATCATTAGCAGCCTCATCAATGTCAAAATTATCGAAGTGAGTGAATTTCATATGATGTGTAGCCATTATAAAAGAAGTGAGAGGCATTGGACCTGAACCCACAAAAGCCACCTTCTTTGGCTGCAGCAACCCACTTTCATTCAAGATCCTGTATTCAATGTTGGCTAGCTTGACATAGTTCCCATAGTAGGGAAAAAGGTTAAGGTTGTCCAGAGGTTGGTGGATTTTGCTCAAGAACGTTGCGAATTCAAGCTCCAACAGGCCCTCGGCATGGCCACATAAATTGATGAGGCTTTCTCTCATTGCTTGCACTTCTTCAGGCAAGGCAGTAATGTCTATGGATGATGGTAGGATACATAGTTTCACAAGGTTAGAGAAGAGGCTATTAACTTGCTTCGAAGGCCTTAACGAGCTAAGCTTGGATATGCTAGCATGGATTTGCGTTACCCGAGCTATGAGTAGCTCAGTAGAGATTTGGCTCTCGCAGTTGGAGATTTGGAGGGCAGCCATTGATGATGAATAGTTTGCAGTATCTGATTCTGTTTTACAAACTATTCAAGCTGCTAGCTAGAGTGTGCTGGTCGTGTGGTAAGGCCTTCCTATCAAAGTATTTATAGTAAATGCTGAACAGAATTATGTGTATTATTGAGAAAAATGTACAAGTTTCGTACAGTGTTAGACCTTTATTATTTAATGTTATTGATTAGTGTTTCTTATTTGCTGAAATTTCCTATACAATCCGAATTCCTTACGCAGTAGAAGCTTTCTTTGACGGTGATCTATTAATTAGTATTGAAGCATTAAAAATAATGGTGCTAATATGCTGGAAATCTTACATGGTCAACAACAACCGTGCTGCTCCATGCCTTATATGATCTAAATTAGCACTGGATTGCAGCAAAAAGCAAGATCCCATGAAGCTTCTTTCCCTATTTTTTCAAATATAAAACAATAGCATGTGGTGGCCACATGATGCAACCTATATGTGTCAACTAGGGCTTCACTCTTTGAACATTTTGAGCTTCGATGCCTTTCACATTGTGTTTTAAGTATATGAAATAGTATGCTTTTAAGCAGATACTAAAAGTGATTTATGTTCACACTATGCTCATAATCAATTGGGAGTCAAAGATCATCAAGGCATGGAAAATGCCTTAGGAGTTCAATTTCTTAGGTTTTTTTATTGATTCGTCAATCGTTTTGCTTAAAAGGTTGTCTCTGTATTTCATGAAAAAAGCTGATATAATTGCAGATTTTAGCCCCCAAGTTTCTCCAACTCCTGGGCTTTAGATTTTGCAGAATCTTATCAACCAGGCTCTGCCATTGAGTGGGGTATTTTAAGTTTTAACATGTGTGTATCTTATCATCAAGAGGGCAGCAACTCTTTTCTGAGCCGGGAATTAATTAAAAGCATATAGTACAAATTTTAAATTTAATTAGAAGCTCAATATTTGTAAGAAGAGAACAGGTTTCTCTTACAAAAAAAACCTACCCAGATCGTGTCAGTCTGTCTACTGCTGGCACAAATCCTATCACAGGACAGAGTTCATGCCTGCCAGACCAGCCCACTGCCCACACGTCATGAGACCCTTGTCCAACCCCATGCACCGTTCTTTTACAGGGTGTATCAAGCAAGCATAGCTCCTGCATTATCTTGCCGTCCAAGCTTTGCGTCGAATCAAACTGTTTTACATTAAGAATAGATAATCGGTAACTTTGATATATTAAAAAACAATTAAATAATTAATATTCAAAATAAATATTTAAAATAATTGTTTTAATAAATAATAAAATGACAAGATACCATATCAATTCATATCAATACAAGTTAAACTATTAACCATTACATTAAATTATAAGATTAACAAAACTTTATAAAAAATAAATCAAAATAAATTGTAAAAATTATTTTTTAATAAATTCAATATTAAAAAATAAAACTGAAAAAAATCAATTAAAAAAATTACTTAAATTAACTTGAGTTAATTTATCAAACCTATATTCCGAATCATAAGATTAGAATAATTAAATAAAAAATAAATTAAAATAAATTATAAAATTCAATCATCAATCATTTCAGTATTAAAAGATAAAATAAAAAAATTAATTAAAAAATATATAAAAAAACCTTGAATCATAACTTGTTAAAACCATAACTTAAATTATAAAATGAGAATAACCTCATAAAAAATAATAGACCAACACAAATCACAAAATCAAAATTTTAATTAATTAAATGTTAAAATAAAAAATTAAAAAAACTTAAATCAACTGAGTTAATTTATTAAACCTATAATATAGTTATAAATTTAAAATAAAACATATAAAAAATAAATTATAAAAATTATAAATCTTAATTTTTAATTATTTTAATATTAAAAAAATATATTATAAAATAATACCATTTCAATAAATTGTATCACATGACTCCTCCATTAAGATTTTTTTTTTTAAAAAAAATCATGTAAGGCCTTGCTTCCCTGTAAATTGGCCCGTCTATTTCACCTCTCTTTGACGAATGTTCGAATTCATGAAATAGAACTCTGCTTACCATGGACAAATAGACATCTCTTTGAGAAATAGAACTTGTGCTTATAGGTAATTTTTAAAGAATATCAATTTAAATTTTATAAATTTAAAAATAGTTTATATAATTATTAATTTTAAAATTTATAAAATTAATTAAAATATACATAAATTAACTCGAATATCATATTAATTAAAATAAAATTTTTACCGTTGGAAAGGAGAGAGGTCTGAAGGTTTCTGTAGACATATTTCTTTTATCGAAACAACAGAATATTAGAATAGGAGTTAACACCAGTGGGTTTGGCTCCCATCGCATGCTTTGCTATCAAAGCCATTAGGCAGATGAATCTCCTTTCTCCTCCAATGTCCAAAGTCCCAAATGTCTTTTCACTTGTTGACCTAACTTGTTCAAGTTCTTAATCACCATGACCAAATCAAAACCAACTCGAACCCACATGCCCCTTTGACCCTCCCTTTCCCCTTTACTTTCTTGTCCGAAAAATACACGAAAGAAACTTTTCTAAAAGACAAGCCAAAACCACATCATTCGTCTCCTTTTCCTGTCCTTCTCAGGTTATTCCTGCCCTGACTAATTCCCTAAACCCCCTCTTTGATTTCTCTCTTTCTTGACTAATCTTCAAAACCCTAAAAAAGAGAAACTGCTTTAGTTCCTTGCATGATCATGTCTTCACTATTTTCTTGTAAAGATCAAGACTTTTCAAGAACCCTTGACTCTCTTCACAGAAAGCTAACATTTTAGGGTTTATTTTCGGATTCCAAACATAACCCATTTTTCTGCATACAATGTCTGATGATATGCTAATGCATTTCTCTTCAAACTCTTCAAACCAATCGGACCAGTCTTTGCCTACTAAAATCGCTAAACTTGAAGCTCGTATGGCTGGCAAAGTGTCTTCTGTCTATCCTGCCCCCCCTGTTCAGCTCCAGCAGCAACAACAGAAACAGCCCATTTGGTGTTCTGTTTCTCCGGGTCCGAGATTTGGGCCTCCTGAGGAATTGGCAGAGTCTAGTGATTCTGACGATGATGTAAGTTTTCATGTTGTCATTGTGTTTATTTATGAATTTGAAGTGGGTGTTATAGAAATAGTGAAACTTATGATTGTTTTGTTACGTTGGAGGATAATTACATTGACCTGTTTGATATATTTGATTTTGTTATGAATCATTTTATGTGCTGTGTAGTCATACTTTGTATTTTCCAGGGCTTAATCACTTCATATTCATTCCACATATGCTTGTACTTTGCCAAAATTTGGTTGAAAGTTGAATTGATTACTTGGTCTTATTCAGTTTGGACTTTGTAAGGAGCCTGTAGATGCAAGTCGAAATTTTTATGTTTGGTCTATATGTGTTCCTCATGGAATAAGAGTGGGTGATGATTTGTTGGTTTGAGAATGTGGTTTTCAGAATTTTTGAAAAATGTTTTATCGTTATGTTTTGGTTTTGAGTTTCTGTTTTATGTGTGGGAGTTAAAGAGGATGCTATGTGTGAGGATTCTGCTTTTTGATGGACTATATAAAATGGGCAATGGATGGATATTCAAGAGGGAAAGTTGCTTCTGTAAACAAGTGGTTACTAAAAGATTCATGTTGGTTTCTAGCATTGCTGAAATATGCGTAATTAGGATTTTGCTCTAGTGTTGTAATTGATATTATAAGGTTGAGAAATAACACTCGATAAATCAAGTTTCTGAATGGTGATCTTAAATAGAATGTTGAAATTGATGTATGGTGGCATAGATGGACCTCAATATGGAAATGTGATTGCAACATCTGTTTGCTCTTTATACACATGAAACTTTGTTGATTTGTTGCAGTTAGATTGCAATGGAGTACATGCAATTTTTTAATCTATGCTCTGTACTTGTGAAGTGATGCTAAATGTGCAATTCTTGTGTATACCTGTGTGGAAGCTTACCTTTTCAATTAAGGAAGCCATTCAAACATTATGCTCAGTGATTTATTTTTCCTGACCCATTACTTTGTCTTTTCCCTTTTTTATGCAGAATGGAGGGGGATTTCTTATACAAGCAAACACTCAAAAGCGCTGGAGATTACAAGAAAATGATAATTCAGCTGTCTTTGAACATCTTGAGGTAGATTGATGTTAGACAATCTACTTTGGTCTGCAGTTGTTCTTCTCGATCTTTTTTTTTTTTTAATTTTTTTTTGACCACTTTGAGGCAATAGTTATGATTGACTGGTAAACTAGAAGATGATAACCCTATGTAGATTTTCTTGGCATAGTTTAGGTGTTGCTTAGCCAATTCCTTAACATAAACTCCTCTTTTGACTCTCATTTAGGCAAAATATTTTCACACTAATCTCTGTTTAAAACAATAAAAAAGACACAGACAGTGAATGATGGAAAGCAAAAGATTGGGGAAACTGTAGAGACCAAGGTCAGTACCGATGCAAATAGGAGAAAACAAGGTCGTGGAAGGGGGCATTCTAATTCTAGTAGAGGTCGTGGTGTGAGAGCTAATGATCAGATGAGATCACAAAGTTCTGTTTCAGCAGCCTTGCCTTCAAATGGTCAGCTTGAGAATTCATGTCACAAGGTATATTCTCTTTCTCCAAAAATTCCACTAAATCCTGGTTTCCTCTATTTATCAAAATTCAATTTCGTTGTAGGTTACATTTCATCGTAGCGAAGAAAGGGTTTCCTCCTTTTAGGGGCTTAGTTTATCTCCTCTTAACCTGGCATAGGAGAGAAAAAAATATGTATATATGCCTTAACAGTACAGTGTACTAATATGAGGGAGAGTGAATTTCCTCAGCTCCATGGTATGTGTATGGAAACTGCAAAGATGTGATTTTATGGGTTGAGTTGCAAATGAATTTTATGGGTTGAGTTGCAAATGAACTATGAGCCAATTCTCTTGCTGTGCAATACAATCAATTGGTTGTACAATTATGGGTGCATTTATACTTATACTATGCGTCCTTATGTGTGCGTTACTTTCAGGTCCATCATGTAGTGTTTGAAGTATGCCATTCAGGAGGAAATTTATGGTGTATTAGGGAAAATTGGAATCTAAATCTGGCATAACATTCCTGCAGACAGGCATGCCATGATTTCTTTTATTCAAAATGAGGAGTTTAATTGCATTTTTTAAGGCTTTTTTCATTCAAAATTATGAGTTTAATTGCGTTTTTCTAAGGCTTCTAGATTAGTAACCGCAAAGTTTATTGAAGAATTAAGTGAGTTGTGATAACCATATTCAAAAGGAATATATTGTACTCTCATACTGTTATACAAAACTGAAGGGAAGATATGCATTTTCATTTCTTCCTTTAACATGATGCCTTAATTGCTCTCTTTCCAACTCAATCACAACTTATTGATCAAATTTTTTGTACATCATCAACCATTTGTAACCAGAAAGGAAATTGACATCATTTAACGCAGAAAAAAGCAGATAAGGCATTTGTTCTAATGCAATATTTTCTTTGCTTAACATCTGGGTTGCCAAAATATGCTAGTTGTTTGTGACGGTAGTTGGTTGATGATTGTGAGTGAGAAATAGATGGCGAGCTTCAGTAGCAGGCTCATGCTTTTTTGGGAAAATAAAATATGGTTTTAGTGAGCTTCTCCAATTACATTTTAGTTCAAAACCTTATTTTGCAATGACTTTCTTATGTTTTATTAAATAGACTAATCTAAATATACTCATATTTCTTTTTCCTTAAAACAAACACATCCTCCTATTTAATAATTCTTACTATTGATTTAATGTTTATTATCATAACCATGAGGTGAGATTGCAATGGCTTGTAGATGATATCATGAAAATAGTTATGAATCTTATTTTTTGTCATGCTTGAATTGAATCTGATTTGGAGGCCATTTATTGCTGTTCTTGTGAATCTTTAGGTGACAACTTTCCGTATGGAATTCATTGTTGTTTATTGCACTGATAATAATTTTTTTTGTAATTGACCGTAAAAAACTACAATTTGTGTCCTAGACCCATTACTGTGACTGCAAAGGCCACTAAAAGACCGCAGCTAGAAATGTTGTCATACATACTGAACCCTTACTCTGCAGCTTAATGTTGAGAATGGTAGGAATGCAATCTACATAAATCTATTTAGAATGACATATATATATTAATTACACAGGATAGCACGGCCAAAGAGCACTTCCAAAATGGTGATCGCACATCTTTAGAGGTATCAGTCCAGTGATTTGGTGTTAAATTGTTCAGATTTGTAAAATTCCTGCAATTTGTTAGATTTTATTGTTGCTGTTGTTTTTGCCATTGCAATTTGTGAAATGCTTTCCTCAAGGCACAACATGTTTTGACACTGCATTTCTAATCCTTCTTTTCAAATTGATTTAGGAGGAGCTCACATCTTTACATGCTAAAGTTGCTGCACTAGAGGATGATCTACGTAAATCGTGTCAAGAGGCCTCTAATAATCATGATCTCTGCCACCAGTTAGAAAAGGTATAGTTTTGCCATTACTTTATGGATTTTGGTTATTCACTATGGCTAATGATCTTTCATTATATCTGCACAGGAATTGAAGGAACTTAAAGATCTTGAACAACAAATGAAGCCAAAGGTATGCTTTTGGAGGGACTTTGGTTTTTTATCCATTTTTTCTCACATTCTCATTAAGTAGTATATGGTAATAAAATTACCCAAATGTTTCAAGTTTCGTTGCATGCTATGATGCCATTTGATACTTAGCAAATGGGTTAAGTTGTTTGTGTCTCTTATTTTGCACCCTTACTAAAGAATTGGATTTTCTAAAGTGGGAAATGTAATGCTGATGAGGAGATTAAATATGGTTGCCCAATAAGGAATGTATAAATGGTGCAGGAAAATTCTAGAGATGATGAAACTTGGAAAGAACCAAACATTTAACATTGTTTTAGCCGGAAGGCAATGACATTTAAGGCATGTGTTGTTGCAAGTCATTGACGAAGAGTTTTGGGCTTGTTGATTTACTTGATTTAAAATTCTCAGATAATACCTTTTGCATATGGCTTCAGGTGGAATCTTCCTAGTGTTTTTATTTTTTCACTAGGCATTTAACCTACTTGCTTAATTTTCTCTTCATTGTGTAACCAGCAACAGGCAGGTTATCCACTCATTCAGTAGTTTAATAAGTTTTTCATTAGCAGATTTGTGATCATATCTACTGTTCATTTACTCCTTGATGCAGAGGTCCAAAATCATATTGGATTTGTTGATATCTGTTTCCAAAGCAGAGAGACAAGAAGCAAGGATGAAAGTTCGCCAAGATTCTTTAAGACTTGGCAGTGTGGGTGTTATCAGGTAAACTCACACCTTCTTAAGCTTGTCCTTATTGTGCTTGAATGATCTCTCTTGGAGTTATCTTATAGAATTATCTCTTGTGAGTGATAAAAGTAGTGAAAAAAGATATTGTTGAAAAAGGACCACCGAATTAGACAATTTGGGACTATGATCTCTTGAACCGTGTATGATCCCAGCGTGCAAGTTTTGGATTGTATAACATGCATGATCCGGTGAAGAAATAGGCTCTAAAGTGATTAAGTAATTTTTTTTTTGACACTAGGTCAGTACAATCAACTTTGTGGAAAAACAAATTCTATAATGCAACTTAGGAGAAAAGCTACTTCAAAGTAAAATCTAGAATACCGACAAGTTTTGATTCTATAACATTGCAGGTTGCTCACATCCTTCAGTTAATTTATTGGTTTCTCCTTTAACAGCAGAAACTTTTCCTTGATTTTTTATGTTCATATGGGAATGCTTATTTTCTTTCCATTTCAGAGCTGGAACTATCATATCCGAGACGTGGGAGGATGGGCAAATGCTGAAAGATCTAAATATCCATCTTGTATGTTGTAGTCATCTCTCTCTCTCCAGTTAATTTGCCTTATTACAAACTCATTTTTTCTTCATTATGAGTTACTTTTGACAGTTTTCCTTTCTTTTTCTAATTTGCAATGTTTCCAAACTTTGAAACTGGTTTTGTAATTTAGCTTTTTAGTAATTTGCTTTACTAGTAGTTTGCTGCTTTCTAATTTCACTCAGTTGATTGGCCATGATTCCACTAGACTCATTATCCAAAGCTGGTTTTTCATCTTTAATCCCACATCCATGTTCTGTTGAAATTCATTTCCTATTAAGGGTTCTTTTCAGTCTTTAGTTTCATTAACAATAAATCCAGTTTTATGGAATTTGTTTAGAAGCTCCTATATAGGTGGTTGTAATGTTCTTTCGTGATTTAATTTTCAGAGACAGTTATTAGAAACCAAGGAGGCTGTTGAGCGGCAGCGGAAATCATTGAAGAAGCGACAATCTGGTAAAACATATTTCTTGTACTATTTGGCAGTAACTTCTTTCTACTCTTTGTGCATGTTTTTGGCACGTTTCAAACTATGGTTAAGGCATTTATATACCAAGAAAGGATCTTTGGTGATCTTCAGTCTCAAGGCATTGGTGCTGTCTATGCTCTAAATTATTGGTATATGTCTTTGGCTATGAGAAACTATCTGAAGCTTTTGTGGCCTTCCAAATTACTGCCATATTTATGATCTGCTTTCTGATTGGCCTTTTGCTTGCTGTCATGCATGCCTATATGCTGATGGGTGTATGGTAATTTATTGCCCCAAAAGTTTCTGTATATTCGTTGCTAACTCAGGTGGGTGGCTTTTTGGAAGAAAATGGTTTATTATTGCTACCCGTTGCACTGCAGGTGATAGACTAATGTTGCACTGATTTGTCCTGGCCTCAAACCCCAGCAAAAGAATATTACTTATCACTGAAAAATGAGTAAATAAAAAGAAAAGAATTATTCCTCATGCTTTTACCATGTCCATCTACTATCTGTGATTTATTAAGATACTTTGAGTATTAACATTAGTTGCTGTTGCTATGAAGACAAAGGTGATGGTACAGATGCAGAATTAGGAGCACAAGAAGAAGATTTTCTCATCCAGGATGAGATTTTTAAATCTCGTCTAGTGAGCATCAAGCGTGTAAGTCATTCTGTTATCTCCATGCTGCATTTTGCAAAAGTTGCAAGTGCTCCTTTGTTATTGAGTTGTTGATTCTGTGTAGGAGGAAGAGACAATTTTGCGTGAGAGAGACCGCTATGAACTGGAAAAGGGACGGCTTATACGTGAATTGAAAAGGATACGAGACGAGGATGGTTCACGTTTTAATAATTTTCAGATTTTAAATCACCGATATGCCCTTTTAAACCTTCTTGGGAAAGGAGGATTTAGTGAGGTTTACAAGGTTAGAACTTACAGCAAGTAGTTTCATTTGATGATAGAAACATTAACCTCTGCTTGTTTGATGAAATTCATATTTAACATGACAAGAGTATAGATCATTTTGTTGCCAATATTGGCAATTGTAAAAAGCACATCCTTTTGCAGTGATTTGAAGTGAGAAATTTCCGGCAGGCTTATGATTTGGTGGAGCATAGATATGTTGCATGTAAGCTACATGGTCTGAATGTTCAATGGAGTGAGGATAAGAAGCAAAGTTACATTCGGCACGCACTGCGAGAGTACAATATTCACAAGACCTTGGTGCATAATCACATCGTTCAGCTTTGGGACATTTTTGAAATTGACCAGAATACATTCTGCACAATCTTAGAGTACTGTAGTGGTATGACATTAAACTCCTTGACAACTTTCAGTCTGTTTATGGATGTACAGTAGAGTGAAGACCCAGTATATTAGGGCATCCAAACATTTGGATTATGGAATTTGCCTCTAACACTCGGGTTTTTTTTCCTGTCATTTACCCATTTTCTAATCTCAGGTAAAGATCTTGATGCTGTTCTTAAAGCTACACCTGTATTACCTGAGAGGGAAGCTAGGATTATTATTGTCCAGATATTTCAAGGCCTTGTATACTTGAATAAGAGAGCACAGAAGATTATCCATTATGATCTGAAGCCTGGGAACGTTCTTTTTGATGAATTCGGTATTGCAAAAGTTACTGATTTTGGTCTTAGCAAGATAGTGGAGGAAGATGTTGGATCCCAGGGAATGGAACTTACATCTCAGGGAGCTGGAACTTATTGGCAAGTAACACTGAAGTTTGTCATCTGTGATTTTGGATGTTGTAAATGTTTGATCTTTTGCTTCAAGAAATAAATGCAATTGCAGTCATTTCCTAGACAATTATTTCCTACTCTTGATAAATCTTCTCTAGTTTAGCTATATGGGCAAAATTCTGATGCTGTTTTCTTCGTTTGTAATTTTAGGTATTTGCCACCAGAATGCTTTGAGCTCAGCAAGACCCCTTTAATATCATCAAAGGTATATTTTCTTCCCATCAAGGACATTTAGTCACAGCCATAGCCAAGAGCATAAAATGCATTTACTGAAATGAGAATGTCCCCTGTTTTTTGGGATTCATGGTCCTCTGACTTGTTGCGCACCTGCTGTACAGTGATTGAGTCTATTTAGACCTCCATGAGAATTCCAAAGAGTTAGTTATCACCAAATATAATTTACTGCTTAAGCTTCATCTATTTAATCTTCATCGAAATGCCCTTTCTTGGGATGCAGGTTGATGTCTGGTCAGCTGGAGTTCTGTTTTACCAAATGCTCTTTGGCAGACGCCCTTTTGGGCATGACCAAACTCAAGAACGAATACTACGTGAAGATACAATTATCAAAGCTCGCAGGGTTGAATTCCCTACAAAGCCTACTATTTCAAATGAGGCGAAGGTGAGTTTGATTTGAGTCTGGTAGTTTTCACTGCTTATTTTCTTAGGTCTTAGGTCTTAGGTCTTGTTCTCACAACAACAGTGGATAATGATTTTTTTATGTCCTTCTGATGGATTATAGGATTTGATTCGTCAATGTCTGACGTATAACCAAGCAGAGAGACCAGATGTTTTGACCATTGCTCAAGATCCATATCTTACATACTTGAAGAAGTAAGAGTGTACGAAGTCAAGGATTAAAGATTTAGAGAGAGCAGGGCGAGCGGTGGTGAGTTTTCTTTGGCCAAGCAGGAAAGAAATTTATTGCAGTGTCAACTTGGAGTTTTGTATAGGTTGTAAAGGTTTGTTTTCCCATTCTTTCTCAATGTAATTCATTGAAATGTATCCAAATATGTTTTTCATGTTTTTTTTTAATTTGTTTTGTCAACACGTCAAAATCATTAAAAAGTATCAATTCAATACTTTTTCATGGGAAAAAGCAGTTTGAAAAACATGGTTCGCTTCATAAACAAACAAACAGTCGATAAGCTTTATATCAGCAGTTAATCACTAGTATTAATTTTGTGAATTATATAACACTGACAAAAGGGATAAAACGACATGCACTAATTCTCACATATTAAGCTAAGAATACTGGTAATTTAGTGGATTCAAACAATTAAATCTTACATATGAAAATAGAAGAGTTTAAAATTGATGCATATTAACAAAAAAAAAGTCTTGTGGTGTTTTCACTATAGTTGAAAACATTATGGATTGGAGCAGCAATGATGTATTTTAAATTTCATTTTATCCTAATTTGTTTTTGCATATTTAAGTTTTTTTAGTCTAAATTAGTATTAAATTGTTTTTTTTTTAGAGAAGGTTGAATTGAAAAACAGAAAATTAAAATGAAAAACATGAATAACATAAGTAACACTTTCAAATTTGTTTGTGAAATATATTTTGGTCCCTATCTTTTATTGCTATAAGGTGATTGATTCCTGTAATTAAAAAAAAAACTATATTTTGGTATCAGAATTTATTTTTTTTTTATTATAAGAGGAAGAGAGAAGATTCATCATATTTTAGCAAGGAGAGAGAGAAAGCTCTTCATTAAGGGTGAACCTAATCATCAAAAATATTAAAATTAATGTTAATGATTTCATTAGATAAGAAGAGTTTCATAGTAGTTCTTTTAAAACTTAAAGTAACTTAAAAAACTGGATCTAGGTTAAGGATACAATATTTTTTTTCAGTTTGTTTTAGTGGTTTGAACCTTTTTAAGTTTATTAAGTTGATAAGTTAGGTTTTTGGTGTTATAAAAATGTTTGTGGTTAAAATAATTGAAAAAATAAGTTTTTTTATTAAAAAAACCCACAAACCTAATTTTCCGACCACTGAAGGTTGAGTTTTGGGCTGACAAGTAATATATCGTTTGTTAGTTTTTATTTTTTAAAAAAAAGGTAGATGACCTGAAAAAAAATTATAGGCCTAGGCATCTAGCCTTGAATTTTTATTTCTTTATACTTTTCTTTGTTTTTTCTCAATTGATACCTTTTTATGTTTTTTTAAAATATTTTTTTAATTAATACCCTTTCTATGCTATTTTTTTAGCTTATTTAGTATTTTTTAATTATATTAGGTGTCTTTAATTTTTCATGAAGTTAATATAATTCATCTATAATTTGTTATATTTTCATATAAATTAAATTTATTTTTATAATACAAATTAATTTTAATAAAAAAATTCATTAAACACAACCAAATAAATACCTCGTGTTATGCTATTAAATATTATAATATATATTAATCTTTTAATTTTTATGGTTTTATTATTTATCATTATTTTCTTTTTATATTAAATTATTCTGATTTTATGATTTAAGATGCATCATAAACATGTAATCTTGACATATCTCATATTCAGGTCCCTCATATAACATCATAGCCTAGTTTTCTTTAGAGTGATATTTTTTTTTTGTTATTTTTTTTATCATGATAATAAATTAATCAAAATTTAACTGAATTATCTAAAAAAAATTATAAAAAAAAATTAATTCAGCTTATTGCTTCTTACGGCTAGCAATCTAGTATCATCTCTTTCATGTATAGGCTGAGGCATCTTCCAACGTTAGAGAGCATCATGCCTGCCGATATCAATAACAATAAAATGTGACGATGATATTTGGTCAGAAACAACACCATTGGTATTTTTGCCATGATATTCAATAAGAAAATGAATCAGAATTATAATGTTCTTGATTTTTCTAATAAAAAACATGATAGCAAATCTTGAGATAAACAACACCGTATTAGTTCCATAACCATCCATACCTTGAGAAGTTTTCCAAGAAAATCAATTATTTGAATTAAACCATAATAATTTAGCCGCTAATTTCCCTTGATGAATTAATGTACACATTATTAAGAAATAACTATTTTATATAAAAAATTCCATTTATCAATTCAATCCTCAAAGCAAATAAATTCTCATCATATTACTCTATTAATCCTTACTTAAAAGTATATTTATTAAACCCAACATGACTTGACATGTCGATTCAGAATCCGATCCCAAGACTTAATCTAATCAACTTCCATGCTTTTTTTTGTTTTATCCAAAACAATGACATTTTAGGAGTTGACACCAAAACAAATAAATTCTCACATGGTTCTATTAGACATTACTCAAGTCCAGACAATAGTTATCGAAACCAAGCATGGACGGGAAGGTTTGCTCGAAACCTAATTAATTTAATTTTTTTTTTTAACTTGAATGGACATTGACCCGATCAAACTAAGATGAGATCAATATTATGAATTTTAAGATTTTTAATTTTTAATTTTTTTTCAAAATAATATCATTTTATGGGTTTTTTTTTATCAATTTATGAATTTATTTAATCAACTCATGACATAAATCTTGGATTAGATTTAATAACCATGATAAAAACTTTTTCCTTTAAAATGACATAAAAGAGGACCTATTTGTTTTAAAATGAAAATATTTTTAACACATATTCTAATAATATGGGTAATACCTAATAGATCATGTCATGGGGATCCCATTAGTAATATTTTTTTTGTTCGGGTACCTACTTGAGAAACATGAAAGAAAACTATCCGTTGACAGCCTCGAAAAATCAAACCGGCCTCACAATCCTTTTCCCTCGAGGAAAAGAGTCACGTTAAAAAACAACCCGCCTGCAACACTTCCACTTCATTGATTTTGATTTATAGTACACGAAAAAAAACTCGATCTTTCAAGTTCCTCTTTTCTTCACCTGTTAAATTCTATAACAACAATAGAGAAAAAGTAGAAGTATGTAACGAAGAGGAAGGATTTCTTGGATCATATTATGCAGCAACAGCGGTCAAGAAACTTGAGGCCAGCTCTTATGCAGTGCAGTACGAGAACTTAGTGGAAGAGGAAGACATGTCAAAGCAACTAATAGAGACACACCGCAAGCCCAGCTCTAAAACCCCTTTAAGTCGATGGAGTAACAATTTCGTAAGTTTTCTTGCTAATCTAGCTCCGCTACGCCGTGGTTTTAGTGCCTGTATTTGTTACTTAGAACTTAGAGTTTGAGACTCCGATTTTTGTATATTCTGTATATTTCTGGAAGTTGAAACCCTAGTTAGCAATTGCTCGCTTTTTTAAGCATTTATTTTTTAATCTTGGAAACTGTTTTTGTTTTATTTATTTATTTTTAATTTTCTCCTTGAAAAAGCATGAAATAATTTCAGAGATTTTGGATCGTACAGAGATAGGCATGCTAATCCTCTTTTGTTTTTTAAAAAAGAAAAAAATTAAATTAATTTTTTTCTATCTCCAACAGTAAGAAATGATTTTTGAAAAAGAAAAAGTGAATTTTAAAATTACTTAAAAATGGGTTACGACAAAAATGATGTTTTTATTATTTTTTTATCTTTTTTTGTTTTGTTTTGTTTTTTATTTTTGGTTTGATTCTATTGGGTTAACCCTCTATAGTTTTTTTTTAATATCACCTCTTCTATTTTTCAATTTATAAATAATTTATCAAATTACAAATATTTTTTAATTTCACACCCTATGATTTTTTAATCTTTTAAATTTGAGCCTTATTATTTTAATAGCTATTTATTTTGTATGGAATCATTTTTTTTTCAAAATTTATCTTTCTTGGGTTTTGTTCTTTCAAATCTTATCCTCATTCATTGTGTTGTTATTTTTTAATAAGTTTTTTTATTAATATTTTTCAACTATTGGTATAAAATTAAATTGACTAAGAGTTTAGATTTTTTATTGAGTCTAGAATCCAGTTAGCTGTGGATTTTAAAAATTAAATTAAATTTAGAAAGTTTAACTGAGTTTACTTGATATTTTTTTTAAAGCTTATGTTTTTTCTTTGAGTTTTGTTTTGTTATTTTTTGTAATTTTTTTTATCAGATTATAATTAAGTTATTTTTTGTAATTCTTTCTATTTACTTTTTTACAATTAGGTTTTTTTACCTTAATATTTTTTTTTACATTGAAAATTAATTTTTCTTCGGGTGGATGTCTAAATAGCATGCATGGTAGTAAACCGACCAACCAGGAAGGAAGTATGTGATAAGATTGCTAAGCTGAAAGCCCTTCATCAAAAATCACTTATTAGGCGAATCATCAAAATCTTTCGGCAACCACGCAAGCCAATTTCCCATGAGTACTCAAATCCCAAACTGTGTTATCGTTTCAGATTAGAAACTACGTACACTTATAGCATCTAGAATTAATTGGACCAGTCATTTAATGAGATCAAGGGAAATATATATATATAGCAGCTCTTTTGTAGAAATCAAGCTGAATTGGCTAACATGAAGAGTATGAAAACATTGATTGATTTGCAAAATAAATGGATTTGCAAAATAAACAAACGAAGTCGATCAACAAATAATTAATGAAAAAATATGAAGTGAAAGTTTTAATTGATTATGGAATTGACATAGACAGCTTAAACATCTCTCTTCAATTTCCACTTGAGAAATTACTTAGGAAAATTATATGTTAGGAAGGAAATTACAAGCTTATTTGACTACGTGGTTGAGTTATGTTTTTGCTAATTTTTTTTTAAAATTAATATTTTATATTTTTAGATAGTTATAATATGCATAAAAAATAATGTAATTTTTTAAAATATTATTATAATATATTTTTAAATAAAAAATATTTTAAATTATAGAAAATAACGCTCATAAACTTTGCATGCGATAGCTTCACCGTCGTGATTAACCCACCTTGCAATTATAATGAAAGACATGGGTGAAGAGCTCAAATCCAACCACTTGACATTAAGATATTGGATTACTATGAATTTTCTGCAAATATTTTGTTTGCCTTCCACCAAACAACCTAAAAAGAGATGCAAGGAAGGACTCTCGGGGCTCCATTGACCCGGTCGTATTGAAACTAGTCATAAAGCGAAATGAAAAAGAAAGAAAGAAAGATGGGTCGGTATATAACTTCTATA